ACACCTCTTCATTTCTTCGATGAGTTCAGCTGATTTTGTTAAGTCACCATCTCGGAGATGTGCCCTGATAAGAGTGTTGTATGTACAATCATCTGGCGCAATCCCATCCTCTTCCATTTTCTTAAACAACAGGCCCGCTTCAGACAATGAGCCTTTCTTACATAGTCCTCCAATCATTATGTTGTACGTCTTAACATCAGGCTTCACTCCTTTCAAAGGTAGGCTACAGAATAGATCCCAAGCATCATCGATCTTACTAGCATTGCAAATCCCGTGAATGATGATATTATATATACCAATATCTAGTTCCATCTTACAACTGTGCATTTTATCAAGTATTTCCAATGCCTCTTCTACTTCTCCATTGTCACACAACCCATCCAACAAAATTTTGTAGGTAACAATATTAGGATGAGCACCTTGAGTGACCATCTCTTGGAAGAGTTCTTTGGCGTCATTAAGTTTTCCTGATTGACAAAATCCTTGGATGATAGTGCTATAAGTGACTGTATTGGCAACCAATCCTCTCAGAGACATTATGCGGAAAAGTCTCATACCTTCATCAACCATTTTAGCCTTGCAATATCCGTTTATAAGGATACTATAAGTCACAGTACTAGGATCGCATCCCTTGCTAACCATCAGATCCAGCATCTGGTTGGCTTCATTTAAGCGTTTCTCTATGCACAATCCATATATCAGAGAATTATATGTGACAGTATTAGGATAGATGCCTCTTACGATCATCTCGTTGTACAATTCTTTAGCCTCAGTAAGCTTTCCCTCTTTCACAAGACAATCAATCAACGTACTAAAAGTGACAACGTTTGGGGTGATTTCACTTGTAATCATATCTCTCAGCAACTGTGCACCATCATCCCATCTTCCAGCACCACAGAAGCCTCCTATGAGAGAGTTGTAGGTAAAGACATCTGCTTTGATCCCTTTGGTTTCCATTTCATTGAAAAGGCTGAGTGCATCGTCTACGCTCCCATCTTTACAAAGACTATCGATAATCGTAGTGTATGTGACGACGTCAGGCTTGCCCTTTCTATGCTCCATGTTTCTGAGAAGATCCAAGGCCAAGTCATTGTTACCGGACTTACACATTCTGTTCAAAACAGGACCATATGTAAACTGATCAGGTCGACAACCATTTTCTACCATTCGATCTATTAAAGCCATTGCATCAGAGAGTCTATCTTGGAGACAAAGCCCATTGACAATAGTGTTAAGTATGATGAGATGGGGTATAACCTTCATTTCTACCATACGATCAACTAACGCCACAGCTTCAGAAACTAGACCCTTGAGACATAAACCGTTAATCAAAGTAGAGAATGTGACTGTGTTGGGCTCATACCCAAGTTTCAAGATCTTCCCCATAACAGAAAAGGCAAAACCGAGTTTCTGGAGACGGCAGAAGCAATTGATCATAATGTTGAGAGTGTAGAGATCATACTCAATCCCTCTCAGTTCCATTTGCTTGCAGAGACTTAAAACGAGATCATATTGCTTTGTTTTCGCAACTAAACCAAACAATCTGTTGAAATCAATGACCTTAGGAAGAGGACGAGACATAATCATGGATTGAAACAGAGCAACAGCATCGTCCTTGTTGATATTGATGAGACCACTTCTCAATTTCTCTTTATAAGAAGAGAGATTTCTATACACACCTCCAGAAAAGGCTCTTTCGGATGAGGGAAGGAAAGGAATTGTGACAGTACCTCCAAGACTCAGTGGGATACGAGGAGGCTGAAGCACCAATCTCCGACACAACATTTGTTTGTTTGGTTTCAAATCTCAAAAAAAAAAAAAAACCCTAGAAGAAGGACAACTCGACTCCCATCTTCAGTGACATGATGATTCTTCGCCTTTCACCACAAATACATCTGCACACTGAACTAGTTGTACATCTACACCATAAACATTTCATCGATTCTCTCTCACAGCTTTGTCGGGGGTTAATCTACTTCATCGGTTGGTTGTGTGAAATTTCAGATTAATTCTAATTTTGGTTTCAGAATCCGGTTTGAATAAAACCAGACCGCGTGGTGTTTCCGGTACAATAACATGTCCGATTTTCATTATTATACACGTTTTTAAAAAGAAAAAAAAAAGACATATATACGAGTGGAAATATTGTATCTCAGAATGTGATTTGCAAAAACATATTATATTAGTGGAAATATGATTTGATTTTAGGCTTTGATAAAATATAAGTTTCTTCTACTGCATTAGTTTTACATTTTTGCTAATGTGACTAAGCTTTTCTCCCCTCTACGTTTCAGAACCTTATATGATGAAGTAAAAAAGCTTCTCAAATCAAAAAACAATAGTTCTTTCCGAAGAATCATAGATTCGCAGCTTCAAGTCTTTTTCTTCTTCTGCGTTCTCTGCAGCTTCCTCCACTTCAAGTAAATTTGGTAAGACAAACCACCAAACACCATCGACACACATCCCCATTGCTTTGACGACAATGGATTCCCGCTCAGAACTGAAGACACCACGATGCTTACAAACTTCCTGGTCGTGGTTATGGTCGTGTTAGCTAGAGACCCGAATCTGCTTATCGTCAAGAAGATGAAGTTCTGTCCCACTGCTCCGCATAGACAGTACATGAGAATGTCCCATGCTGCCTCAGGGTGTTGCTTGCAGAACTGCACAGCTTCGTATCCACTCCCGTGTGGCAGACCAAACATGTAGACCATGTTGTATATGGTTCCCCATAAGTTCATCCCCAACATTATGTCCCATGCGCTAGTTTTCGGGTACCTTACGGTGATGGAATCTTGGGTGGCGTTTGTGAATCCGTCGAAGGCGAGGTTTAAGAAGCAGAGGCCGTATCCAAGTGGAGCATTTGGATTTGCTAGCTTGCTGATGGTCTTTGAGCTAGTCTGAAACCGAATTCAAAATATGGTTTACTATGTTTCAATAGATAACAAAAAGTTAATAAATGAAGAAGATGTGTTTTACCTTAAGAAGAGCAAACATGGACACTCCTCCAGCAACAAGAAAGGTGCAAAGATACTCAGGTAAAGTGTATCTTATGCCATAAACTAAGGACCCCATCAACATGACTACAAGAAAGAAAAACAAACATAAGATAACATATAAAAATTTTGATTTAACAACACATGAAAGAAAAGTTGCAACGACAGTCATATAAGACGAACAAATAGACTGTCTCTCTAAATAGTCATCTCACCTGGAATCATTTTAGAAGACTTCGCCAGAACCTACAGAAAAAAAAAACAGAATAAAAATATATACGAAATAGTTAAAATCAGAACCTATTAGGTGATGTATCAACTATAATCAAGACCAGTGTTCTAAAAATCGTTCTAAACGTTGCTAGGCGAATCTAAACGATTTTTCTATTTTTTTTATTCGGTTTAGGCGTCCGTCTAAACAATAATCATATATAAAACTCCTAACCGCCTAACGATTTCTTGAACAATGATCAAAACCAGCAGTGGTGGTTATTAAAATAGAATGCCAAAGTTACCTGAGCAGGATAACTAATATACTTGAGAGCTTCAATGCCCATAGCAGGACCAATGGTATTAGTAATGCCAGCACTCCAATAAGTCCACCATGGAGCTCCACCACTACCTCCATTGGACCATAGCTTTATCACTGCTCACAAAACAAAAAACAAAATCACTTCAGCTTCATTATATACAATACAGATAACAAAGGAAGAGTCTTTCGGAATACTCACTTATAAAAGACCAAACCAAGCAGACCACATTCTGAGCCAAGTTTAAAAACGCAAGATGCTCAAATCTCTTCTCATCTTCACCAAATCTCTTCGTGGACCTATCAATAACACACAAAAAAGTTGAGTCCTTTCGGGATCACAATCACATAAAGTTTGATGATCTGATTCGATTCAGTTACTTACAGGGTTTCCTGAAGAACGCCTTGGTAAATGTAGGCAGCCCAGATCCCGGCGACGCAGAACGACAGCAACATAACTCGCCGGAGACCGGAGCCGTGAGATTCCATCGTCTGTTTTGTTATCAGATTATACTCCGGCGACGATTCGGATTTGAGTTTTTTTTTTGTTTAAAGTAGTTTTTGAGATGAATTTATGAGAATGGATCTGAAGTGGAAAAAAAGGAAGTTTTTTAAGAGTGTCGGAGGCGCGAGAAAGACGTAGATGTTCCACGTGGGATTGTATTATTGGATGAGTTAACTGACGTGGTGTTTTTAATTGGACATGGGACGTGGATTCGTTTTATTGAAATCCATGTCATACACTGGCATCCATGTCTGAGATAGAGATGTGAACTACGTGACGTTTTGTTTCTATGAAAAAGGTCAGGAGTTTCGTAGTCTAGTTCTTTTTTTTTACTGGTATTTTAATTACCGTGTTTATTTGGCTTCTTCTGATTAACCAAACTGCAGACAGAAACATAAATCAACGTAAAGTAGAAGCACATACATTCACATGGTTTGTTAATGATGTGTTTAAGAAACTGATTTGTTAGTAGAAGCTAATTAATTACAGTTTCTAACTTACATTTAAAAAATTAGAATTCAAGGTTATTATATAAAAGATCTAATTTATTATAATTAAACTGACTTATTCATTTAAATCGATTATAAAAGTTGAATAAATTGGCTACCAGTTATTCTGTAGCAATAAGACATGATTTTCAGCTAGTTCAATGGATGTTTGTAGAATTGTAGTAGTCCGAATTGAAATCTTAAGCCGAAAATTGTGGTGTATATATATAAAAGTTACACATATATCCTCGGGCTGGAGACGGTAGTCGTCATGATGTTAGAAGATTATCGGATTCAGATTTATAAACCTACGGTCACGTGATGGTGAGAAAATAAAGAATACGCGTATACGAATGCTGATTTGCTTCTTAGCAAAAAAAGTAAACCCTAGATTATTTTAAAAGTTTAGATTAGTCACGGCCTATATGCCAACGTGCGGTAAGTAAAACAATATGATACATTTAAAAGCAGATGTGACAATAACGTGAAGGCGAATAAACTTGAGAATTCTGAATAAGATATATATATATATATATAAAAACATGGTATTTTATGAACATTGATAGTGCTGAATACAAGTAACTTGGTCAGATAGATACTCAGATAGACTAATATATCAGTATAATTTTGCGATGAGTAATATTTTAATGTAGAAGTTGCTTCATCTGAGCTAATCCTGAAAAGATGCCAAATTGTTTTTTGTACACACGTGCTGTGCCTAATAATATACAATATGCAGCTCTTTCAATTCACAGATCAAAACCAATATGAATACAGATCAAGTCAGTTCTTGGGTCAATGCATTGCTATGGGATGATAATATTTAAGAAATACACCAAAAGGAAAAGTATTCCTAAACGTTTTGCTAAAAAAGTATTCCTAAACGTTGACTACCACTTTCTATTCATTCTCGATTACAGACAATGCTTCTGCGAGTTTAGTTATTGATCATGGTTTGATGATTTAGTAGTGATATAAAATATTTTGACAGTTGAACATTCTATAAATCGGAAACTTACAACCGTATAGAATGAGACTACTCTGAACTAAACAAGTTTAATGTTATAACGCATTATAAAGCATATTATATAAAAACGTCGTTATTGTTTTCTCAAAATCTCTCGGCCACTTCTTTATTTTATTCTGGTAGCATGCAGCATCCCTGTTGTTCAAATGACGAAGTCTCTTTTTTTTTTTTTTTTTTAATTCATAATAGAGTTATCCTAGTTCTGAAACTTCACCACCTTACACAATCTTTCATTTTGTTGTTGTTGTGATTCTACATTCGTGCCTGAGCAATATACATGTACGTTTTGTCACTTTTGTGCTGCTTCTTTTCATTTAAGGATGCAATTTATTCCAGTCTGGGGTTGGATGATTAAAATCTACTGATCCAGGGAAATTAACTCCAACATTCAAAACGTAAACTGCAATTTTCTGATTGAAAGGGAATATTCCCACAGATTTGTGATCGTGACTGAAACATCAAAGTTATTATCCAACAAAATAGACAAGAAAGTTTCAACGAAATGGCTGTTACAAAAAAAAAGTTTCAACGAAGTGGGCGATCCAGCCCCACCACCTTTACTGTCCCTTAATATAAATAATATTTTGATCGTCAACGAAGACCATATATTTGTTTGAAAAACAACAACCAAAAGGCATAAATTCCGATTTTTAATTAACGTCAACAAGATATAGATAAGACCTGTTTTTTGTTTGTTTATTTCATATTAATAAGAAGTATTCGACAGAACAATAAGCCATTTATATATAGTCTTAATTCTATTACACGTTTTAACGAGTCAGCTATAACTTGAGCCATCCAAAATATTCTCTAACAAATAATATATATTCTCTAACAAAAAAAACTAGAGTGGGATATTGAAAAAATGGGAGAAAAGAAACATTTTAACGGAAAACTTGTTTCATCTCATTACTATTTAAGTTTTGCAAATAAAATATGATAGAAACAAATTACCAAATAAACCAAATTTAAATTCACGTTTCAGTTGTTTAGTATCAAAATTTCCAATAAAACGAAAACGATGATAAAATAGCTACGAATACTTTCACTTCATAAATTTAAAACACAAGTTTTAGCTTTTCACTTTATTTCATAGTATTTATTTTCAGTTTGATGTATTTATTCAAGAATTCGACAATGTTCGTCTTTTCTCCCTTTGGCAAGAAAAAAAGAATAAGAAAATGAAAAATAAAATACCCGACAAGGAAATGGAAACATGACTTTTTCGGCCACCACCTTCCTTCTTGACTTCTTGTAATAATAATGACCACTCAGTTGCTGAAAACCATAGAATCAAACGTGAGCATGACGCAACCGGATCTAAACCCTAATTACCAAAACTATCCTGTCCGATGGCTAAAACAACAATACATTAAAAACGTTCTGGGACCACGGACACTTTCGCCACTTCGAAATAAAAATTGACGTCAATATCGACTCAAGGGTATTCTTGTCACTTCCTCAAGTTATCATGATCAGTATAAAACAAAATCACACGACGACTTTGTATTACTATTATTTATTTGTTTTTTTTGCTTCCAAACCTCTCTGTTCTTCTTCACCTTCCTCTCTCCTTCTTCTTCTTGTTTAATATTTTCATTCTATTACCGTATATATTCGGCTAAGCAGACACTGCGCCGCCGAAACTTCCTGTACTGCTTTCTTTTAGGCTCTGTTCTTGTCCTGATCATCTGTCACCTTGTTCCACAAGCTTTCGTCTGTCTTCAAGTTGGTTTCAAAATCTCAAAATGGGTAATTGTTTAGGTTCATCAGCTAAGGTGGATAGCAGCAGCCATACCTCAAATGCTAATTCTGGTAATTAAATAGTTCCCACTCAAGCCTTTACTGCTTAGCTTGTGTTACATGTTAAAGTTTCTTGAATGTTTATAAGAGTTTCCTCTGTTCTATTTGATCATTTTTTTATAGGTTCATCGGAGTCAAAAGTCTCGACCAACACAAGCCGTTCAACGGTTGCTTCAGGACAAAGCACAAGCTCTTACAGCACAGGGAGCAGTAGTTTAGGATCATCATTACCAACGCAGCCAAGAACAGAAGGAGAGATACTTTCATCGCCGAATCTAAAAGCTTTCTCTTTCAACGAACTCAAGAACGCAACTAAGAACTTTCGTCCTGATAGTCTACTAGGAGAAGGAGGTTTCGGTTGTGTTTTCAAAGGATGGATTGATGAAACAACTCTCACTGCTTCAAGACCTGGTTCTGGTATCGTTGTTGCTGTTAAGAAGCTTAAGCCTGAAGGTTTCCAAGGTCATAAAGAGTGGCTGGTAAGCCCTGGTTACTTTCTGTGGTTCATTTAAACATTGGCTGTGATTGATTTTGTTGCTTCTTTTTTCAGACAGAAGTAAACTATCTTGGTCAGCTTAGTCACCCAAATCTTGTATTACTAGTTGGTTATTGCCTAGAAGGCGAAAACAGGCTCCTTGTATATGAATTCATGCCTAAAGGGAGCTTGGAGAATCATCTTTTTAGACGTATGTTTTCAATTGTACAAAACATGTCATGACTTTGATTTGAATAGTGTTTAATAATCCGTTGGGCCAATGATTATTGCAGGTGGTGCACAACCACTAACATGGGCGATAAGGATGAAAGTGGCAGTAGGTGCAGCTAAAGGGCTTAATTTTCTTCATGAAGCAAAGTCACAAGTGATCTATAGAGATTTTAAAGCTGCTAACATTCTACTTGACGCTGTAATAAACTAAACCGACTCTCTTCAAGCACTTTGGTGATTTACTTTTACTCTTAAGTTCTTAACCGTTTTGAAAATGTTGTCTTATTACAGGAGTTTAATGCTAAGCTTTCAGATTTCGGTTTAGCAAAAGCAGGTCCTACTGGTGATAACACACATGTGACCACAAAGGTTATGGGTACTCACGGTTATGCAGCTCCTGAATATATCGCCACAGGTTTGTTCCTGTAGACTATAAACCTTGAAAACAATCTGTAGTTTCAAACAGGTTTTATCAGTTTTGTGTGAGAACACTTGAACAACTTTTTCAAATATTATTTTTCAAAAGCTTTGACTTCTAAATCTTGAAAAATCTTTATCTTTGACATTAACCAAACATTCTTTGACCTTTAGAGCGTTTTTGTTTCTTAAGTCACTTTCTGAGAACCTCATCTTTCAAACTACTGCAGGTAGATTAACAGCAAAGAGTGATGTGTACAGCTTCGGTGTGGTACTACTTGAACTAATATCAGGAAGACGTGCCATGGACAATTCAAATGGAGGAGTTGAATACAGTCTTGTGGACTGGGCTAAACCTTACCTTGACGATAAGCGAAAGCTTTTCCGCATAATGGACACGAAACTAGAAGGGCAGTATCCACAAAAGGGAGCTCTCACAGCTGCTAGCCTTGCGTTGCAGTGCTTAAACCCTGATGCAAAGCTCAGGCCAAAAATGACAGAGGTTTTAGTCACGTTAGAGCAGCTAGAATCCGCTGCTAAACCTGGAGGTAAACACACGCAAATGGAGTCTCCAAGAGCTCGTCATACCTCTGGTGTGCAGAAATCTCAAGTAAGATTTGGTCAAGATCGGCCTATGATGAACATCACTCCTCGTGCATCTCCTTTGCCTTCTTACAGTAAGTCTCCGCGTGTAAGATGAAAGTATATAGCTCATACTCTTTGCTTGTATTAAAATGCAGATTTTGAGATTCAAGTTTGTCTATGTATATGTATGATTGGAGATGAATGAAGAAAATATTTATTCAGAGCATAACTATTTACTCAAACCTTTGTCTTGTCAAACATAGAAACAAGCCAAAGTATAAGACAGCAAATTAACAGCACAAAAGACAATGACGAAGTAGAAGCTGAAACAAACATGGAAACATACAGATACAGTAGCATAATCAAACATCTAAAGTCATTGGTTCAGTAATTAAGGAGAAAGTAGCATGAATCAAGAATATGGATTAATGCCATTAAATAAAGTGAACAAAAGCAGAATCAGAGATAGAAGAGTAAACCATAAAGCGATCAGGACCAAACCTACTCTCCTTGTTCTTCGAATGTTGTTCTTTAAAGTCACCAACACGATCAGTGACCTAAGAGGCTAAAAGCAGAGTAGGTCACAGTGAAAATTAGACTCCTCAACGGTTCCACTGACAGTGATAGCCAGAAAATAACATAGTGAAAAGTAACTTAAATACTTTAAAATTAAATAATGCAAGAAGCCGTTGCATAGATGTGTTGGCAAGGTTGGACACCCGGCCTTTCTGAGCTACACAAGTCAGTTGAATGTTCAGAACAGAAGCACTGAATCTGTTACAACTCAAAAACAATAATTTGGAACTTCTAATACTTGTGCAACTGTAATACATATATACAAAAAGGTGAACAATTCAGAAGGTTTGGTACAAAGTTGTTTTTTTTAAGGATGTTAGGTTTCATAGAACCATCAAAGCAGCATCCAATCACTAAAGAGTTTCGGAAAACACACAAAAGACATGAATGAAAAACATAAGTGAAAGCTGTTGCTGAATGGTGAACATTGAGAGTGTTTTACAAAGCTTACAACTAACTAATACATTAGTCAGCAGTCCAGCTTTGCTCCACAACATCACGCACTCTTCTGTTGTACTCACGCTTGCTTTCGCTGTACATCCTAGCAGCTTCCGAGTTTGCAGGAGAATTCGGATTAGGGTCACACAGCAACGACTGCAAATAACAAAATGGATTAGAGAAGAAGAGGTGTTAAAAGGTGTTTGGTACGTGCATTTCGATTATTATTACCTGAATGGAGGTAAGTATAGCAGCAACATCATATATTGGACTCCACTGGTTTTGCAGAATGTCCAAGCATATACTCCCATCAGCATAAACTGCAAAAGCAGTTAATGTGAGCCAAAAAGCTTAAACAAAAACCAAGTGGAAGAAAAGAGGAATGATGTATCTCTATAACTTACTATTAGGATGGAACATCCGTGACACAAACCGAACTGTTGGCGGCTTATTCGGATAATCTTCAGAGAACTGCAGTGAGAGTTTGAAAGTACCTGACAAGAAGAACAAGCAAGAGCCAAATAAGAACACTACTATCATGCTTGATCCCAATTACAACAAACACAAACTTACCTCCATCCCATGGGGTATCATCAGGCCTGCAAATCAACAAAAAAAAAAAGATGGTCAAAGTAAGTCACTACACAGAAATCACAACGTTTCAGAATAGAATTAGTGCTTGTTCAGTTACCCGAAAATAACAGCATTCCAGACCATGATGTTGTTGTCTTGAGGAGCACCGCTTATTCCTGCAGGTGGGTCTTGCTGTAACCTCTTGAAATCCCTCATCAACCTCTTCCTTGATGGAGTCGACATCTTTACCTTATTCTATAAAAACAAAACACATAAGTTATCATTTCTGTAATTATGTTCACATAAACTGATTTTTCAACGATTTGGGTATGCTAAGTAAATAATATGTAACAGATTCGGATCTTCAAAGTAGCTTAGATGCAAACTAAAAACTAAGACTTTAACATACAAACAGCTCAAGGCCGTATAAAAACAACACCTTTACTCTATTAAAACATCTCAGATGAAAGTCAAAGAAGGATCAGATAAAACGATACCGTGGAAAAACAGATCTCGTGTTTAAAGGAAGAGATCTTCAAGCAGACATCTATGTCGTGGCGGTGACCGCCGAGTGGTGGAATCGATTCGAGAATCAGGTGTGCCGGTTCTCGATTTCACCGTGCGATGAGAGAAAGATGAAAACTTTCAATGATTTGGAATTTTGATTCGATCTTCTATAAACTTTGCTCCTCTGACATATCTGTAAAGTTGATGATGGCTTTGCGTTTTGGTTGGTTGGCCTTTCGACGAGCGAGTGGCTCTTCTAAACCGTAATAAACCGTACCGTAAACCGGAGTTAATCGAATTTGAGTGGCTAATGCTATTTAACAGATTACGTGCCCGCCGAATTTGACCGACGTAGATAACAACTGTTCCGGTTATTGGTTTACGATGAGAGGCGCTGAACCGAAGTAACCATTAACCGGACAGAATCTAAGCACAAACCAATTGAGGAGAGTGATGTAACTAAAGTGAAGGACTTTTTCCTTTTTGTGTTCTTGTCTGTTTTCAAATGTCTCCTCTCTAGTCTAGATAACCAGTTCACATTTCCCCCTTTTAGATCATCATGCATTAACAGTCTAATCTTGTGAGTTGATAACTTAGTAAGTTGCAGACTCAAAAGCCCAATGGGTCGAAGCAGTTGGTGTCAAACAGCATATAAGCTCGGCCCATATATGTACTTACTAGAAGCCTTACTTAATTCTTGCCGTCCAAGTAACTTCACTAGTACCTTGCAGTCAGAAGGTTATTAATGGCGGGACTCTCTGTTCCCTAACAGAATTTGAAGAAAAACAGAACAAGAAAAGCAAACTTAATCTCATGAATAGTTCACATAGCAAGTTCATAAAAGATGCCATACTGTTCATCTCTGCCAAGAGGGTCCGTGATCAATTCTATACAGATTCAACTTCACCAACTTATCTGCAAATTTTCAAAAGCAATAAATAATTTTCTTGACCCTTATGATAATACATCTACAGATCATTATGTACATAGCACTGTGAGTCTGTTATACATTAATCACCATAAATGTTTCTTCTCCTCACCATTTCAAGAAAGACAACAATAATTACCCAAAAAAAGCTTTTAACTGTTAAACCTCGTTCTCCAGAAGAAACAAGATTCATCGCTGGAAATAGAACAAAGAAGAAGCATGAAAGAAGAAAGATTCAAGAAGAACCTATACGCACTCTTTTTCACTTTCTTCTTCTTCTTCCTCTGTTCCACGTCGGATTTACTCCTCCCGCGTTCCCCGTTAGAGATTCTCACGGGAGGGAGATGGGATCTCCTGCAGCCGAGTGTAGGCATATCAGCGATGCACATGCAACTCCTCCACAACAACAAAGTCATCATCTTCGACCGTACGGACTACGGCCCTTCGAATCTCTCCCTCCCTTCTCAAACCTGCCGAAACGCCACCGTTTTCGACTGTTCCGCACACTCACTCCTATACGACGTCGCTTCCAACACCTTCCGTCCACTCACTCTCAAATCCGACACGTGGTGCTCATCCGGCTCCTTAAACGCCACAGGCTCCTTGATCCAAACCGGCGGTTACGGCGTCGGCGAACGAGTCGTACGTATATTCACACCATGCGACGGCGTTTCTTGCGACTGGGCTGAGAACAGAGCCTACCTCTCCTCTCGCCGGTGGTACTCCACGAACCAGATCCTCCCCGACGGCCGGATTATCATCGTCGGAGGGAGAAGAGCCTTCACATACGAGTTTTACCCCAAGAATCTTGGAAAATCTGTTTTCAATCTCAGATTCTTGGCGGAGACGAGAGATCCGAACGAAGAGAACAATCTCTATCCGTTTCTTCACCTTCTCCCCGACGGAAACCTATTCATCTTCGCTAACCGGAGATCGATTCTGTTCGACTTCGTCAATCACCGAATCGTCAAGGAGTTTCCGGTGATCCCCGGCGGCGATAAACGAAACTACCCCAGCACTGGCTCCTCCGTGCTCCTCCCTATATCACTCACCGGAGGAAATAACCGAACGAAAATCGCCGCGGAAGTTATGGTCTGCGGCGGTGCTCCTCCCGGTGCGTTTCTTAAGGCGGCGAGGACGGTGCCTAAAATCTTCGTGGGAGCGTCTCGCACGTGCGGGAGGTTGAGAGTGACAGATCCGAAACCGAGTTGGGCGATGGAGCAGATGCCGTCGCCACGTGTCATGCCTGATATGATACTGTTACCGAACGGCGACGTTTTGATCATTAACGGCGCGAGTAACGGAACCGCGGGTTGGGAAGACGCTACAAACGCAGTTCTCAACCCGATTTTATACTTACCCGACGAACCCGACCCGACCCGGAGATTTGAAATTCTCGCGCCGACTCGAATCCCTAGAATGTACCATTCGGCGTCTCTCCTCCTCGCCGACGGGAGAGTCTTGATCGGAGGAAGCAATCCCCACCGGAATTACAATTTCACGGCGAGGCCGTACCCGACGGAGCTCAGTCTCGAGGCGTATCTCCCGCGTTACTTGGATCCGCAGTACGCCGGCGTGAGGCCGTCGATCGTCACGGTGGAGCTCGCCGGAGATATGATGTACGGGAAGTCGTTTGCGGTGACGTTCGTGATTCCGGCGTTTGGGATGTTCGACGGGAGAGTGTCGGTGCGGCTGGTGGCTCCGTCGTTCAGCACGCACTCGACGGCGATGAACCAGAGGATGTTGGTGTTGCGCGTGAGGCGCGTCGTTCAGTTATCTGTTTTCGCGTATAAAGCTGACGTGGATGGTCCAACGAACTCCTACGTGGCACCGCCTGGGTATTATATGATGTTCATGGTTCACCGTGGGACTCCGAGTGTGGCTATTTGGGTTAAAGTTTAAATGTTAAAGCAGTTTTTTTACTCTGCTTTTGACTCTCTGTTTTTACATGTATTCATTTTAGTGTAGTAAAACATTTTGTTATGGTGAAAGTAAGACTTAAATAACGGATAGGCTATGATTATGGTGAAGATAAGATAACAATGGATTTATTATACATGGAAGACTATGCACGTCGGTTATCAAATTATCAGTTTCGGCTGTGAAAGTGAAACCTACGCATATGAGGAAAAGAGAGTAAAATTTTCCCAAGTAGCTGTGATGGTTAGATATGCTTCTACTCTCATTATAATACTGACATTGTAGTCAAATCTGCGATGATATGCATTGAAGTTTTCATTCACCAACTCAAAGTAAAGTCTAAATGAATGGCACTTACAAAGCAGGTTGGTTAGATAAATCTTCAGAATTAGGGCTGAAATGCAACTAGATGTGAAGTTTTCTATTTTAACACCAACACTTGGAGGTACGTCACCCCTTATTTCTCCTAACCGGATAGCTTATTCTCTCCATGGTCATGTGTACGTAGATGGATCGATAGCATCATGTAGTTTTTTTTTTAATCAAAGAGATAGTAACATGTTTGATATATTGTCCAGTAATTTGTTTTCTATTAGGCGACATTGATTTTTATACACATGACCTCAGAGAATAAACATAACAGACTAACAGGTGCAGATATCATTATACTAATCCGGGCTTGATCGATCAGTCTTAATTGTTTGGAACAAATAATGTGATCACGTTTCAACAAAGCTTAGAGTAGGAAGAAGAGGGGACCTTATTTTCAAACTACATTAATGGAGTTTCCTTCACAAACATAATAAATATGGCTCAGAATATCATATTTTCATATTTACTTACCCCAATAAATGTAATAGCGACGACTCTTCATACAAAGTTGGTCTTTTCTTTTAGCACGGTGTGTAGTGATTACATCAGAGTTACTAGACGTAAAAATGAGTGAACTGTTACTAGTATGATGGAGACATCCAGTGCACTATATAATGTATTTCGGTTCTTGTCTATCATACATCGATAACACAAATTAAGCATAATACTCATGTTTACTGTTTGGAGAATGCTCTATCTTCGAGAGTTAACATTTGTGTGATCAACAATTACATACACAAGAGCATAGAATCATTCATGTCCCTGCATTAAACAATAACACATGCGAGGCATGAAATTATTCTATGCAACAACCAAAGGAAATTGAAACATGTGACACAACTAATAACATAAGATTTTAACCACAAATTCTTTTATTTATCCAATAGCACACTACACTAGTTATGATATACCTAACTAAAAGGGGAATAATTAATTACCCAACATACGTAGGTTTAATTAGGACTTAATAGATGTGGTCGCTTGTGACACCAACTTTACTCAACGTTATACGTCACACACAAGAAGACGTAAACTTACAACTCGTGTACGTACACCCTCTAGCTCTCTACTAGTAGAAACTATTTGTATTTTATTTCTCTCTGAATTTTGCTATATTATCGTATGCTCAAGGAAAAAATATAAACATGACTAGGCCAAAAAAAATCTCATATTTAGCCACAGTGAAACTTGTGTTTTGTAATAATATTATATGTTTTTAACATTACAAAAATAAAAACTAAACGCCAGCCTAGCCTGTAGCTACTCTGGTAGTTAATAGTTATGATTGTTAAAGTCTTACTATTATTATTCTAGCTAATACTCCTCACAATTTTAATCCAAGACAATGAGGCGTGAAGAAAACTAGATTACAATTTACAACCAGAAAAGAGTTATGGTTCGCCATAAATATCTAAAATAGATCAGAAGTCATGTAGTTAAATATGCAGATTTTGTGAACACAATGATCACAAACTGCGAAAAGTCTAATGATTCAAAAGGATATAACCAAAGCGGA